TCATCTCTTCATGTGGTTGTTCAGGGGTTTTCTTTTTTGTAGTTCTTTTTTACATGGGAGCCGGTGAGCTTCAAAACCTCGGCGGCAGCAGCAAATAATTTTCCGAAGGGTCTCATGGTGATGGTGCTCGAGTCCGGTGAGTGGGTGAGAGACAGAGGGAAACAGAAAGGAACTTGGAAGCATCACTTTATATTTATCTAGTATTGTAATAATCATCTTATCTAGATCCCTTATGTCTATTTTACCTCGCGACCTTTGCCAAATGTTTTCGATTAAATCCTTTATAATGACTTGGTAGTGCGAGAGTAACACTACCCTTTTGCCAATATCATATCCATACATGTCATGCTCTTTGATGAACTGATCTAATGATTGATTGTTGAACTCCATGACATTTTCTAGTAATCTCCTCCCCATGCCCCTTAATTGTTGAACTCTCTACTTCTTTTCCCTCTTGGAATGTCATTTTCTTAATAAAGACCAAGACTACTCTTCATTCAACCCTCTTAAGTTATAAGACTCAATTGAGTTTGTTATCTTTGTAAATATTTCACTAAGGGTAGTTACTAGAATTATACTTCCTCTTGCACCACCCATCAACAAGTTTTCGCAACTCATCCATGTCTAGCTTCTCAGCTTTTAGAATATTTTTTTTTAACAAGTATATCCAACTGATATGAATCAGAGAGTACATGTCCACATTTCTGGCTCAAAATGCTTTTGAACCTCCTCATGGTTGAATATGAGTTGGGCAAGTGCAGTTTTTCCCAATCCTCCAAATCCCACAATGGAAATAGTTGAGATATTGTCTGCAGAGATTTGGTTGTGCATCTTCAAGATACACTTGTAATTGATCTACGATTGTATTGGAAGCAATCACATGCAACCTCTCGACACAAAGTTACCAATCAGATTCCCTAGAAGAGTGTTATATCCATACATGTCATTCTCCTTGATGAAATGATCTAATGATTGATTGTGAGTGTACACTATCAGCCTAATTGCATCAGCATAACTCTTAAAACAGTGTAAGTTCAGGAATTAAAACCCCAAATGGGATTCCAGTTTAAACTAAAGGGGCTAGAGCAATGAAAAAAATTGGGAAACATATTTTAAAAAAAACATAATAATTTTGTTCTTTGCTATATAACTGACTCTAGTATAATGGTACTCATGCGATTACATAATAATATTACAATCACAAACATAAACTCAACGCAGCACTAACGCACGTAAGCATAAAAATAATTTTAGAGTACCAATAGACGTAAGCATATGCTAAGAGGCTAGTATTGGTTATATGAAAGATGAAAACCAGATATCCAATGTAGCACTCCTAATATGTTTGCATATTTTAGGGTTAACAACATAAAATTACCCAATCTTTTGGGGTCATTCAAAATTAGTACATTTGGGGAAAACATTACCGAACGCTGCCCTAGTTTCCTACATTTTTTATTTTGGTTTATGATGTAACATATATGCTACTCGCATATCTTTTCTTCCAATTTTATTTTAGTTGAGATAAATATCACTAGACCAAAATTGTCCACTCATTGACATATTTTAATGGATTAGAGTTCATTGTAAGTTTAGGTAAATTACATGTCTTTAATTGCAATCATTGAAATACAGAGGCTGAAGTGAATACTCGAAAACACTTCAAAGAACATTACATATGGAAGACCAATTTTCTTGCTCATATGTTCTCTTATCTTTTATGTGGGAGGCTTGTTTGATTTTAATTTAAAACTCAAATTCCGAGCCTCACATTTAGAATCTACGCATTTTTCTGCATTTCACTTAATCTTAGTCATTGTAATAATCTCAAAATCTATAACATGACATGTCAAGTAAGTTTGGGTTTTCTTTTAACATTTTGAAAGTCCAATTTTACCCTTTCAATAAAATTAATAATAAAACCCACCCCATAGTAGCATCGGCACACCGCCACTCCACGATCAGCCAACTGTGATGTTCTCTTGGACTAGCTTTGCCATCGATTAGGTCATGGCTTCCCCTGTATCTTTAGCCTGTGAAGAAAAAATTACGAACGTATTAATACAAGGTTCAGCCAACTATCTTTCAGCATAGAATACAAGGTTTACCGAGGTAAATTCTCTGTATGAGTTTGGACAGGGCAACCCAGGAATCAATGCTTTGTGGAAGCACAATCCCGGGCATTTCGGTTGTCGAAGTAAGTGCTGGGTTTGGTTTGTTATTTTTTAAGTTTCAAATTTCAAAATTTTTAACTTTACTGGAAGGGTAAAATTAGACTTTTTAGAGTGTTAAAACTAAACCTAAACTGATGGTAGTTGAAATGTCATGTTATAAGTAGTTAGATTATTACAACGATTAAGCTTAAGCAAAATGTGAGAAAATGCATAAATTCCAAATGCAGAGGCTCGTGATGCAAAAAACTCATAGGTTGTTCCACAACATTCCAATCATAGCTGAACAGCTACTAACATAGTACTGTTTATGAATTACAATGTCAAAGAACCTGATACAATGATAGTAATTATTTTTAGAGAAAAACATTTTTTATTTTGTACAGTATTTTCTTGTTATACATAATATAAACTCATACACTTCATTTACACATTACAATGTCAAAGACCCTGATACAATGATAGTAATTATTTTTAATGAAAAACATTTTTTATTTTGTACAGTATTTTCTTGTTATACATAATTTAAACTCATACACTTTATTTACACTCCATTTTCTTGTCCGGGTAAATCCCCTTTTATTTATTTCAGGTCTAGGGAGAAGCCCCGTGCAACATGAATTCAACAGACTACAGAAAGTACCAAAAATGTGCAATACCTTAAAACTGGACCCTGAGAACTTAAATGAAGCTTCAATTGAAAAAGAAATGGATCTTGCAATAGACAACTAAACTCAACTCAGGCTTCAGCAGAGAAGGAAAAGATTTACAATAATTTGAGCTAGCAATATAATTCTTTAGTAAAGTTGTAACAGAGCATCTCATCCAAGTTTACTGACCAGAGAGAGGACTGATGCTTGCAATATAATTCTTTAGTAATATCTTAACCCTGAAAGACTCTCTTCACAAATCCTTGCAAAGAAGTCCCCATCCCAGCACCAACAGCTTCTGCCAAGTATGTTGCCTCTTGGACGGTTTTCTTCAAGTCAAAAGCATCTTTCACCCGATCATCCAAGAATGCCCATGTATCACAAAAATCTGGGGAATTATCAGTAAGCATGTAAATCTCGGTTGTGGAGTATATACCTCCAAGGACAGTCCGCTTCACATACCACTGAAAATCAGCTGTGTCGTCACCAGCACCATGCCAGATCTCATCCATAAGCATCGCCCTCTGCTTAAAACTTGTGGGTACATTCACTGGTTGTGCCTGGATGCTAAGAGCTTGTGGCCACTTCGATATGTAGGGTGCCTGCATTTCCAAGCGAATCTTCACAAGCTTTGTGATCCTCTCACTTGGTATCAAACTTTTTAACTCCTCTGTACTAGAGTCGATCATATCACTAAGCCTTTGCAAACAGTCATCCATGAAAAACTCAACGAGCATACCCTCCTTCCTTGGAAATGATCCGACAATTGATGGAGAAAGACCAACATCCCTTGCACCAGCAATCATAGCCGCTTCGCTCCATCCCAACCTTATAACATGGGGGAGTGAGGCTTGGAGCACACGAGCTTGCTCATCTTGGTATTCCGCTCTCGGTCTCCTAGTGTGATCAGCCGTTGACGACGTGGTATTTGAAAAATTAGGGATTTGATCTGCCGTTGACGACGTGGAGTTTGGAAAGTTAGGGCTTTGATTGACGAAAGATTCAGAGTTCACAGTTGTGGAAAAGTGAGAACGACTAATGAGGGATTGAAGAGGGCGGTAACGAATAATACGGTGGTTGGTACTGCTACCCAAGGATGTACCAAAGAGATGGAGAAGCCGCTTCGCCGCTGAGCTATACATTTTGATTTGGTATCACCAATATCTGCCTACAAGGCAAATGAGGGTTTAGAAATGAGTTATTAGTTTTGCAAGAAACAGGTTAATGTTTTTTCTGTAAAAATATAATATATCAAATATTCATTTACAATAAAATAAATTTTACCTAGAATTGTTAATTTCTTCAAATTATTTCACTTAAAATCTCTCTCATGGATATGAATCTAAATTGACAGGATATATAGAAGAGTTCAATGTTATTAATTTCCCCAAAGATATATTCAGACTTATAGCCATCAAGAAGATTACAAAACAATGCGGCAATCCATCCCTAACCCTCCCCTTTAAGTGGCAGAAGAAAATCAATTTTTTTTTTCATAGATGCTCACTGTTGTATTAATTGATAGATATCAAAGTTTTGACATTGCTGACCTTACATGATCCTCGCTCACCCCAATTGCACAAATAGATATATAGCATTTTTGTTATATAACATTTGTAAATTTTTTTTATAAGAACAATCTTGATACAGATAATGGAGAGGCCTAAATTAGAAACATAAACAGAAATTTAAACCCATGACAATAAATGGTATAATTTTGGAACACAGAGAGAAAGAAATCAAAAGCCCTAGGGTAAACCCCTGAATTACAGACACTAATTTAATCCCAACCAAAAAAAAAAGCACCAGAAATTGACAAAGCAGAAGAAACATTGAGAACACAAACCTGGATTTGGAAAAGAGATTCCTTGTTGCAGAGGAAATGGAACCCAACGGCAAAAGGAAAAGAGGAGTGAGAGTGCTTCGTTTTTTTTAGGCTGAGAGAGACCCGCGGAGAAGATGAGTGTTACCTATTGTTGCGTTGATTTGATTGAACGAGTTTTATTTTATTTTTCATTTAAAAATAATATTTCGGGTCGGGTTCTATTTGCAAATCGGGTGGTTTTGTTTAAGCCGAAAGGTCATCTTTGGACCCTGGGCAAACTACAGAGATAAGACAAATTTGTATATGAAGTTAGGTTGTTATAATCTCAACCGTTGGGAACATCCAACGGCTGAACTAAGCCCCACCAAACGAAAGAGACAGAGTTCTTCTGCAGAGCATTTTCCATGGGCTTTTTCTTTTTTCCTCTAAGCTGAGTTCTTCTTGTTTGGTAGGTCTTTGCATAACGATGGAGAGAGGGGTACAGAGATGGGTTGTGGACATATCAGGGTGGGACCCATCTCCCCAAGATTTCTCCTTTGCTCTCTCTGTTCTTCCTTCAGTTGAGCAACCTTCTGTCACCAGGTTTTCCCTTGCTCTTTCTTTTAGTTGCTGTCTCTTTTTTTTGGATTCCAACAAAACCTAGAAAGAAGAAAACCCAATAGTGATCAAAGTAAATGAGTATTTTCTACAATCTTAGTGCCATTTATTTGTGTTATTTTATGCTTTTTGCAAGTTATATAGACGAACCAAACTTGGCACTTGCTTTTGGCAGAGTCAAAAGGACTTGTCTGATAAATGATTGAACCTTTTTTATAAAAAAAATCAATACATGAAACGGGAAATTTCCACTAGAGTTTTGGTGTTGTAATTAGCATCCAAGAAAGCAAAATGATAATGGATTGAGCTTTGGAAGAATTGTTGAGACAGTTAACAGAGATGCATTGTATTTTGACATTGGTAGATTTGTACAGATGGGAGACAGGAAGCGGGCACTTGTGAGCCGGCTGCTTCAATATGCTCTTGTAAATGAAGTTTTGGCAATTCCCTATGATGAAATTATCATTAAGCGCACCTTGGAAGGCAAACCATATCTGGTATGTCTGATTAAACTTGCTAATTCTTGTTTTATCCAAAAGAAATTGGTTTTGATGGAGACCCAAATATGTATTGAAGTCACGGAATCCGGCATTAATATCTTGTTCTGCATACTATGTATAAGTTCCAACTATGTGTTTACAAGAAATGATTTTACATCCTTTTCTTGGCATAGTTCTTGTACCTTCCTTGCTTGTACATCCACCATTAATATCTTGTTCACTACACTCTGCATAATGTCTTTGTTTTCAGGAATGTGGTGATGTTTGCACAGATTTTCCCAATTTTAATTTCAATGCATCTCATCATGGTGACTATGTTGCTATAGCGTCCGAACCTTTGTGCCTTGTCGGGGTGGACATTGTTTCCATAGTCATTCCTCAGAAAGAGACGGTTATAGAGTTTATTCAAAACTTCTCCTCATACTTTTCAACTTTTGAATGGGATAGTATAGTCAATGCTGGCACATCTGATGATATTCTGATTGAGTTTTACAGGTAAATCGTTTCCTGACATTCTGTGAAAATTTATTCCATAAAACTTTTGTGTTGTAAGTTATAGCTTGTCATTGTTGTTTCCTTGTCAGATATTCTTATCTCAATATACTTATGATTTGTGCACTTGTACTCTTTCTGTAAATCTGAGTGACCCACTAGAGAACTACTGGAAGAAAGAAAGACTTTGTTTCCTATCTTATCTAACATTGTTGGTTTCATGTAAAATCTCCCTTGAGTTTAAAATTATGGAATAAAGTTCAGTATCTTTGTCAGAACATCTACCTGTCACAGTTTTGCAGTTTTCTGTGTGGCTTGATTCTCTTTTAGATATGGCTAGCATACCTAGCCTGAATTTTTTTACTGCATATTCACTCTGTTTATGTGTTGGGATAAGTTCACAGGTCTATTAGAGTAGAAACCTTTCAATACAAGTTGATTAAATATGCGTTGAACTTGAATGTTCAGGTGAATCATTAGGGTTTGGCAAAATAATGTTTATTTATCGGAGCAGCAACCAGCATGCGGGAGAGGTCCAAAGATTTGAGTAGCTGATGATTTATAGTGTGTTTTGTAGATATTGGTGTCTGAAAGAAGCTTATGTCAAAGCGATTGGGAGTGGAGTGGCATATGGTTTGGACAGAGTGGAATTTCATCACAGTTGCTGGACAAACATCTCTGTTAATGTTGAGGGGAAGGCTATGAAAGAATGGCGCTTTTGGCTTCT